GAGCTACACATAAGGAAATGCTGGTGGATTGGGCCCAGTTGCTCCTTCACCTTATACCACGGTGCCTCTGAAAGAACTTGTGACTGACCCAAGGTCACACCAGCAGCTGTATAGGGAGGAGTGGGGAATCAAATCCAGTTCTCCCAGATTAGACTCTGCGCACTTAAACCACTACACTAAACTGGCAAAATAGCGGGGCAGAGTTACTAAAGTCCCTTCTCTGTATGGCTTCCTCTGGGCCTAGAGCAGGGGTCACTGGAGGAGTCGGGGGAGGAGATACCTGGGAATTTCTCACATTGTGCGGGGGGCTGGACTGCATGACCCTTGGGGTCCCTTCCAGCTCTATGTTTCTATATGCACTGAATTGGGCACTGTGCACATGAGAACTGAGGGAATCCTGCAACTCACGTCTAACTGTTACACAGGGCGGGGACCATGGAAACACAGTCTGTGTATCCTGTGATGTGTGAACCTTGGTCACTGCCTGAAATATCAATACATGAACTAAATCACTACATATTTTATCTCATCCTCCTTCCTTGGAGCTCATCTATCCCCACGCCACCCCCCTTGTATCCTCACTGCACCACACTGGCAGCTTGAAGCCATGCTTGTTAACGCCTCCACCTCCCACTGACCCATGCCCCACTCTAGGCCCCGGTGACACCCACCCTCAGGATTCCAGAGCACCAACAGCCCTTTACCTGGCACTTTCTTTGGTATGTTTTCACTTCCTGCTGGAGCTTGAGGTTTTCCTCTTGCAGCCTGTTCCTGCTCACCACTATTTCACTCACGGTGGACTTCAGTTTCTCCATGAAGAATTCGTTTCTTTCCGTGGGCTCAGTGAAAACATTCTGTTGAACGCCGAGGTGCTCCATTTTGCACTGGCTGCAGGGGCCGTCCTCCTTCTGGTTTGGCTTTTGGCAACAAATCTGGCTTTGGCAATTCTGTGCTTGTTTCTGGAACAGAAAAAAAAAAGAGCAGGCTGCACGGAGTTAATTTACTTGAGCAGAAGCAGGTCTGCGCATCTGCACAAACAAAAATCTCATACCCATACCCATACAAACATGGTATGACAAAACATGGGATTTATTCATTTTAGATAAGCTGACACAGGTCACTCAAGTTACAGCAGCAGATACATCTAAGGCATATGAGCAATTTGTCGCAGTTTGGTATACGGTGCTTCAGTATATGTCAGAGAAGAACATACTCCCTTCAAATATCGCTTATGTCCCATGGATACGCTTTTAGTTTTATTTCTAACTAAGACTATAAAATATAATGCATTGGCTCGTTCACCACTATGGAGGCTGGTTTTGTTGCTTCATTTACTGGTTCATAGATAAAAGAGTTGCAAGAAAGGTAAACTTGTTGGGATCAGAGGGGTTTATATGCATTTGTTTGGCTTACCACTTGCTGTAATGACAGATTTTTATGATTTGTAGGATACTATTGTTATGCTGCTTTGTTTCTTTTTAATAAATTTTTTAAAAAAATAAAAAATCTCATACCCCGAATAAAACTTTGTTGGTCTGAAAGGTGTGCTGGACTCAAAATTGCCATACGATAATCGCCCCCACCTGTTGGCTGACCGCTGTGTGAAATGGGATGCTGCCCTAGGTGGGCCACTGGTCTGATCGGGCAGGGCTCCTGTCTTCTTATGTTCACACTGCGAGAAAGATTAAGGACCTGAAGGTCCGCTAATAGTTGGGTCCAAGGTAGACTTGCTAGAGGCAGACCTGTGTGTCAGAGTCAGACCACTGTGAAGGGGGGAAATTTAAAATGAGATATGGGCGGGCGGGCGGGCCGGAGCCTTCTCATAGTTGCATGCTCCTAGCCGGCAATCACTCCTACCCAGGTGTTTTCTCATGGTAGCAACCTGCAGTAACCCTGATGGGGGGAAACATCTGGGCAGAACCACTTTTGGTGAAAAAAGAGAAAGCTCCAACTTCTCCTTTCTCTCTCCTGCTACATTTATTTATTTAGTATATATATATATTAAAAATCCTGCTCTCCCTCCAGGAAGAACTGGGTGACCTAGATTGTTTTGCCTCACCTGAGTTTTATCCTCACAACAGCCCTGCCTCCAATCTTCCAGCTGCTCTTTGGACGCGCCCCTCTCCTCCTTCGACCAGATGAGTGCCTCTCCTCCCTCCCTGCCTCCGGCTCACTGGCTGCCCTTTGGACTGTGCACCCAGCTCTGTGGACAGCCATTCCTGGAGTGGTGCCGGGGATGACAGGTGGGCAGCACGGGATGGGCAAGGTGGACGGCGGGGTCTGCAAGGTGCTGGAGCGGCTGGTGGTGGCATGGCATGGCTAATGAGTGAGGGGGCGTGGCCCTGAAATGCCCCAGCATTGCTACATGCCTGGTGTGTAGGATAGCCAGGAGATCCTAAGATTGTCTGGCAGCCAGACGTTCTAGCTCTTTTAGCATTATGTGCCACTAGGTGGCGAGCGAGACTCGTTTTCAAGGCAAGAGACATTTCAGAGGTGGTTTTGCCATTGCCTACCTCTGTGTCACTCGCTTGGTATTCCTTGGAGGTTGCCCTTCCAAATACTAGCCAAGGCCGACACTGCTTAGCTTCCGAGATCTGACTAGCCTGGGCTATCCAGGTCAGGGCTGAAGGAGAGTGACAGGCCCAAGGTCACCCCGCAAACTTCTAGGGCAAGAGTGGAGATTTGAAGCTGGGTCCTCCAGGTCCTCGTCTGACACTCTAACCACTAGGACAAAGTTTGAGTCCAGTGGCATCTTTCCGGCCAACAAAGTTTTATTCAAGGTATAAGCTTTTCTTCAAGGTTGAACCACTAAGTTTTGACATGAATTGGAGTGGGCTGTGATGCTGTCACATAGAGCTTCCTTAGACAGAATCAGGTCTGTAGCCAGCGGTGGGGCTTTAGGGGCTGAGCCCCCTATTGGATCTTCAGAGCCCCCCCCATCCGGATCTTGACCCACAATCTTAGCTGCACGCTGTGCTGGAAGGAGGCCCAAAGCAATTCTCTAACCCTCATTCTGGCGCAGCATGCTGCTAAAACGGTGGCTTAAGATTGAGGTAGGGGGCATTTGAGGTGAAGCACAGCCTTAAGTTCTAGCTCTTTAGTGTTATGCACCACTAGGCAGTGAGCTAGACAAAGTTTGGTGGCTGAGAGAGCTGTGAAAGAGCTGTGACTGACCCAAGGTCACCCAGCTGGCTTCATGTGGAGGAGTGGGGAATTGAACCTGGTTCTCCAGATTAGAGTCCATCGCTCTTAGCCACTACACCATGCTGGCTCTCATCGAAGAATAGGAGATTGGATTTGTACCCCGCCCTTCACTTGGAGTCTCAGAGCGGCTTACAAACTCCTTTCCCTCCCCCTCTCCACAACAGACACCCTGTGCGGTGGGTGGGGCTGAGAGAGCTCTGACAGAAACTGCTCTTTTTCAAGGACAGCTCTGACAGAACTATGGCCTGCCCAAGCTCATCCAGTAGCTGCATGTGGAGGAGTGGGGAATCAAACCCGGTTCTCCCAGATTAGAGTCCGCGCACTTAACCACTACACCAAACTGGCTCCTGCCTTCTCATAATGGGACCAAAGTATAATAGTCTCAGTTTAGCCATTGTAGCTCCCAGGGAGAATTCAAGCTTGATTCAACCTAGAACCCACTTCTTTGTCTTTTTAGTAGTCCATGATATCCACATCACCGACACTTAACCACTACACCAAATCGGCTCCAGGGTACTGTCTCCTAAGCTTATGGGCACACACTGTTGCCACCTTCTTGAAGTAGTGCGTGAGGGTCTGGCCAGTGCCTGGATGTGAATCCCATGACAGAAGAAAGATGCGATGGAAACATAATAAAAGAATAACTACTTGTCCTCTCAAAATATACCCCCTCCCTTCTCCTGCCCCAGTCACTGTCTCTGCTATTGATGCCTATTTCTTGGGATGCTAAAATACAGTTACTATCAAATAATGAGACAGTCCCAACCCAAATGTGACAACCTAATGTGGCTAAATTAAATACAGAGCCGAATACAAGTGTAGCTATGTACAAAAATAGCCTTGGGTGCATCCGTTACGTTCACCTCATTGGATTATGTTCCACTAATTTCAACCAGAGTTCCTCAAAGGGCAGGAATGCACTGGTGTTTAGCCGCTCTAACACCCGGCAAAGTATACACAAATGTTGTTACTATGGTAATTATGCTGCTCGGCAAACATTAGGCATCTGCATTCTCCACGACTTCTAAAAAGCCGAGCCCATTAAATGATGCAAGATATGAAAAGTGTGAGTGGCCCGAGGCCATTATTCTCCCACAATTCTTTTTGCTTCCTGCTTCAGACTTCAGCAAAGTCCATCCGACTGGGGGGTCTTCAGGAAGAAGAAGAAGAGATTGGATTTATACCCCGCCCTTCACTTGGAGTCTCAGAGCAGCTTACAAACTCCTTTCCCTCCCCCTCCCCACAACAGATACCCTGTGAGGTGGGTGGGGCTGAGAGACCTCTGACACAAACTGCTCTTTTTCAAGGACAGCTGTGCCAGAGCTTGTGACTAACCCAAGGTCACATCAGCAGGTGCAAGTGGAGGAGTGGGGAATCAAACCCGGTTCTCCCAGATTAGAGTCCGCGCACTTAACCACTACACCAAACTGAAGAAAATGGGGCAGGGAGGCAAGCTGAACCCAGGGATGCGGAGTTACTGATCTGGTTGCAAAGAGTCGGACTCAACTGTGCAACTGAACAACAACAACAAAAGACCATTAAAACTGATCACCTTAAGTCACCTTGCAAAGGATTGCACTGATAATTATCAAAAGGTAGTTTAGAGTACTAAACAAGTATAAGAGTTGAGTCCAGTGGCACGTTAAAGATGAACATGATTCCAGGGGTATAAACTGTTGAGAGGCAAAGCTCTGGGAGCTTTGACTCTCAAACGTTAATACCCTGGTAGGGTTGCCAGCCCCCAGGTCTGGATGGGGTTTCCACCACTTTTTGGGGCTCCAATCTGACCCTGGCCAGCTGGGCCCCGCCCCCAAGAGCAACCACGCGCCCGGCCACCCCTCTCCCTCCCCTCCTGCCTGATTTAAAGGGCTTCAGCTGATCGGCGGGGGCCACCAAAGAGCTGGAAGGCTCTTTAAATCTAGCAGGAGGGAAGGAGAGGGGTGGCCAGGCAGGTGGTTGATCTTGGGGGCATCCCCACCGACCCCCAGAATGCCCCCCAATCCCCCCACCAGAGTGAGGAGGGGACCTGGCAACCCCATACCCTAGAAATCTTGCCGATCTTTAAGATGTCATTGGGCCCGAATCTTGCTCTTCTGCTGCAGACCAACACAGCTCCCCACCTGTAACTAAATAAGTGTGTAAGCATGGAGTTTCCTCAGGTGCTCTCGTTCAGTGCCCTTATCCCCATTCACTGTATAGCAATAATGCCAGCATTTCCTGAGCTTCTGAAAGGTGAGTTTTCTTGCTGAATTAAGATCAGAGGCAGATATTTAATCAGGATGTGGAACTTTAAAACTGTACTTGCCCTCAGAGAGGCCATCCCCCACGTCTCTGCCTCTGAGTGCAGGTAATTTCCTTGCCCCTGCCTCAGACTAGTCCAGACTCATTAGATCAGGCCACCGAGGAAGTCTGGGGTTGCTATGCAGAGGCAGGCAGCGGCAAACCACCTCTGTGCCTCTCTTGCCTTGGGAACTCTACAAGGTCACCATCAATGCTCCCTCCAAGCTGTGGAGTCTTGGGAGCAAAAATTCTACTTTGCGAGCTCCTGGCATTAAAGTTGTGAGCGAGCGATTTTGGCTACTGTATAAATTAGTTTGCTCTGGAGCCATCCCTTCCTGAGCGAAGACAAAAATGTGTGAGCCATAGGCTGAAAAACTGTGAGCCAGCTCACACTAACTCAGCTTAGGGGGAACACTGGTCACCAGACATCAGTTGCGACTTGCTGGCAAAAAAAGAAATTGTTACATCCCTGTATTGATAGTGATTAAGCAATCCAAAACAACGAAATAAAAGAATGATTTTGGGTTAAATGGGAGCCCAGATCTCACTATTTATTTAGGTCTAATTTCTTTCTGAAAAACAGAAAAGAACAGTACCTGAAACAGACTGCATTTCTCAGACAACAATTTCCGCTGAGCATCTAAAGAAACTAGATGGTTTTGATACAGGGTCTCTTGTTTATCCCACTCTTTTGATTTAGCTTTAAATTCCTAAAAAAAATAGAAGGGAGGGCAGAGCGAAGAAATAAATCATGTTACAGATCATCTATGCTCTCGTCACACATTCTGCAAAAGAAAAAGGGGTAGTGAAAATTTCAAGCAGAAAACCTTTTTTGTTGTTGTTCTTTAACAATACCCATTTATTACTCGCAATGAGAGGTAATTCTAGAGGGGGGGAAGGAAGAGGAGATGGTGAAATGCAAATCTGAGAACCTGAGAAATATGTTGTGATAAGTAGATTGTTCATTATAAATATTCAAGTAAAACACTAGAAAAAGATTAAATTCTTGTATGACATATTGTTAGCAATAATTTACACAGTACTTGCAAGGTGCAAAGCACTTTGCAGCTATTAATAACCTTTAGCATTTAAGTGCCACATTCAAAGGCTGGGGTGCAAAAGACTGAACTACGACCCCTCTCCAACGAACCCTTTAAAGAGAAGCTGGGCCACAAGGGACCCCGGTGCAGGGAGGTGCTTTTTCGCAGGCCTCACATCTCAACATTTATTTTATTTACAACATGTATACCCCATCTTTCTTCCCAATGGGGACCCAAAGTGACTTATATCATTCTCCTCCATTCTATTCTCACAAAAACCCTGTGAGGTAGGTTAGGCTGAGAGTGCGTGACTGGCTTAAGGTCACCCAGTGAGCTTCCATGGCCGAGTGAGGATTCAAACCTGGGTCTCATAGTCTGATGCTCTAACCACTATACTACACTGTCTCTCAAGACAGCTCTGGACCACTGTTCTAGGATGCAGAGCCTCTGGCTCAGTTTTGGGGTGTGGATCTCACAGGGCAGCTGGGCACTGCTTGGAAGCCAATATCCAACCATCCCCATGTTCGGGTTGAAATGTTAGATCTGCCTATGGGCCCAGTCGCTGGTCTGGAAACATCAGATGCTGAAGTGCCTAAGCAGTGGTGGACCTGGCTGGTATCCTGGGTGGATAGGGTTGCCAAGCTCCAGGTGGGGCGAGGAGATCTCCCAGAATTATAACTGATCTCCAGCCAACATAGTTCAGTTCCCCGGGAGGAAATGGCAGCTCAGGGTGGTGGGGTGTATGTGGATTCTATGGCATTATACCCTAATGAGTTCCCTTTCCCCAAACCCCATCATCTCCAGGCTCCACCCCCCAAATCTCCAGGTATTTCCCAACCTGGAGCTGGCAACCCTGATGAGAGAAGCCTGGCGCTGGAACCACATGAGAATCTTCTGCCCTAGCTGGGTCAGGGCTCTTCTGTCATCTAGCTGCAGGGAACTTATGAATGTGCTGCTCCCCCAGTAGGGCAGAAAATGTCCCCTGTTTTGGGTTGGGAAAATGATGCAGTTCTGATCCAAATAGGGCAGCTGTCACCTGGCTGCGGGAAACACAGGGTGAGGGTTGGGAGAACCCTTACCTGACTCAAGCAAAAACAGCTCATATTGCTTGGGGCTTACACAAGTTTGTGGAGAATGGGGTTGATGTTGCTTGGGCCTTGGGAGCCCCATGCAAGAACAAACTGTTTAGACATCTTTAAAATGGGATTACACAAGTTTGTGGAGAATGGGGTTGAATGAATGGATGGTCTGAGACTACCTGGCTGCTGCAGCATTCATTACTGAAGCTAAGCAGCTGTGGACTTCAGCAGCACCTTGGCTCAGAGAGTTGGGGGAAAGGTGCTGCTTACAGTCAAAGGTGCCATGCTGTCCCCACACAGGTTCCCTCCTTGCTAAAGCAGAAATGAATAAGAATCCAATAGCACCTTAAAGACCAACAAAATTCTTGGCAGGATAGGAGCTTTCGTGAGTCACTGTGCACTTTTTCAGATACAGCTAGAATGTGAGTCCATCTGTTCTTTATACTGGAAAGTGGAGTGATTTCATATGCCAAATGACATTATT